GGCAATAGATGTTAGCTCAGAGCCGGTCTTCCTCAGCAAAAAGAGGAGGATTAGCATGGATGTTAGCTCAGGGCTGATCTTCCTCACAAATAAATAAATAAATAAATAAATAAAATTATGAGTATATGCATTTTAATTTTTAACAGTTACTGACTTATTGCTCTCCCAAAAGGATTAAATGAATGAATCTTTAAATACATTCAATTATTTCATTTGGGTAAATTCTTGAAGAAGAATTCCTATAGCTAGGACAGAGTTTCTCAGTCTCCACACTATTGACATTTTGTGCTGGATAGCTTTTTGTGGGGCAGTCCTGTGCATTGCAGGATATTGAGCAGCATCCCTGGTCCCTACCCACTAGATGCCAGTACCACCCCCCCAACCCTAGTTGTGAAGACCAAAAATATCTCCAGACATTGCCAAATGTCCCCTGGAGGACAAAATTGCCCCCAGTCAAAAACCATTGATGAATGAGTAAAGACTGTTTATAAATATAACCAAACTTACATTTAGAAAATTAGTCAATTTAGAAGCCTATGGAGAATGCGTATTGTAAGTAACACATCCTCACCAGATCTGAGTATTGCTTAAAAATCTTTGCTAATTTGATAAGAAAAAAGTTGAATATTTTAATTTTGTTTTTGGCCATTTTTCTTCCTTTATTCATGTGTTTTGCTCATTTTTCAATTGGGTTATTAATTTTTTTTTCTCATTGATTTAAAAGAACTCTTAATATGTTAAAGATCTGAATCATTCACCTATATTTTCTCTATGTAGTTTTAAGCTTGGGCCCAGCTGTATAATTATCCATTACCGGCCAGCTTTATTGCTGAGTTCAGAAGTCCACGCTAACAAAATCTCAAAAGAGGCTAGGAAATGTGGGAAAAGATCACACAAGTAATTTATCAGACCCTTGTAGAACCAAAGAATAACCAGTAAGCACAACCTCACCTTAAGTTCTTGGAATAGCACTTACTCCCTTTACTTTGGGAAAAATTACAGCTGATCAAGATGGGCTACTTGAGTCAACAATTGGAGAATCAGTCCTTGTACCCCTTGTGTATCTGCCACGGTTCAGTACAGAAATCAGAAAACACTCTAGGTATTTTAAGCAGAAAAGTGGTTACAAAATTGGTGGAAAGGTTAGTGGAATGGAATTCAGGAGTCTCCATTGGCTCTACTTTATAGATGATAGATCAGCAGATTGATCGATTGATTGATAGATGATAAAGAGAGAGAGAAACACAGATATATAGAGAAATAGATAGATACATAGATAGGTGAGAGAGAGAGAGAGATGATAGGTGGATAGCTAGCTAGCTATAGTTGTGATTCAGAATCAGGAAAACTCTGCCTTCACACTTGGTGCTTCCATTACTGCTGCCGCAACTGCCTCCAGACACCCACAAAGGTAGTAATGAACCTTGGAATGATGAGTTCCTATGTTTTGATGGCCTTGCTTGGTGGGAGAAACAACAGCAGGAAAGTGGCCTCCCTCTCACTCCCGTCACCCATATCTCACAAGAGTGCATCTAATTGGTGGGACCTAATTTACATCCAAAATACTGGCTGTGAGGCAGTCTGGGAAATGTAGTTTTTATTTTTCCAGCCTTTGCATTACAGAAATGGCACCCAGAAGGAGGGTAAAATGGATGTTGAACACGCCCATCTATAGTATCCATGACATCTTGGTACCATAAAAAGCATGAATTCCAGTATGCTATCCCTTTACTCATATTCTCTAGGAGAGTATTCAAATCGAGTGTCCCTCTGTTGAGACACAGTTAGGTATGACTTCTATTTTATTGGCATAGGCATTCATTTATTCAATCTTTCACACACCTAACAAATATATATTGAGCTCCTATGTGTATCAGACACTGAGTTAGTTGGGGAGACTACATTAATGATGAAGAGAGACAGGGGGCCACGTAAAAGTTAGCAGGACATTAAAATTGAGTGTGAGAAGCATAAAGGGAATATGGGGCACTTTGATGGCACATAGCAAGGACACACCTGACTCCACCTGACAGACTAGTAAAAATGAGGCAAAGTGGGGGTGGGAAAAGTGTCCTAAGCAGAGGGAGCAGTATATACTCTTCCCCAAAGAGAAGGGGGAAGAGCCACATCCTAGAACCACGATGGCACCGTGGTTGAGTGGATGCAGGTGGTGAAGGAAAGGAAGGAGTCAAGATGGCTCCAAGGATTCTGCCTTGGGCAACACAGGGAAGGGGGTGGGTACATTCATTCATCTGCAAAGACAAAGACAGCCTTTACTGCCCATGAGTAGGTGGCGTGGTCATCTGTAGCTGGTGAGCAAGAGGTGGCCAGGTCAGACATTTGGGCCAAATACCGAAAATATTCCAGATGAATCAAACAGTTAAAGACAAGAAATCAAATTATAGAAAAGAATTGAATTTTAAAATCAGATTTTTTGAGGACAAACCTTTCTAAGCTTAAAAGAGGTAAAAAATACATCAATCACAGAAAAGCAATGGATTCTACATCATAAAACTTTCATTATGCCTTCAAAAATTACAAAAGAAAAAAATCAGAACAACAGATCGAAGGGTAAATAGTTGCAGCAAAATGACAGGCCAAGGGATATCTTTATTATAAAACATATCTATTGATAAAAAACATATTCAGACCCTAATAAATAAAATATGAAGAGCAACTCACAAAAGAGGAAGTATAGCTGGTAAACACACAAGGCAAAATATTCAAATTTGCTAGTTAGCAAATAAACACAATTTTTTTTAAATTGAGATGTCATTTTCACCTATTAACTTAGTCAAGATGTTTAAGTGATAGTAACTAGCA